TATCGATTGACTTTAGATATTTGAACAATACAAGTTGTATAGAATAAGAAATACAGTATCGTGCAATGTCAGTAATTGTTAGTGTATCTCGTTACTCCAATGATGGGATATACTTATCTACTTGTCGATATTAAATTATCACTTCCATCATCTTCAAAAGTATTCTGTTAAACATCTTTCTATAGTTTGACATGTATAATAACATAAGTATGGTATAGACGTATTATAGCATAGCGTATTCAGAATGACAGGACAATTGAGGGTAACAGTAATAGCAATGTAGACGCGAGTTACTTTTTTGTGAGTACTCTACTTCTTTGCTAGAATTTTTTTTTCAGTCAGTTCAATTGACTGTGAGTAGAATCAAGTCTCACACATCTTTGAAAGTAGTAAATAATAAAATATAATAAAATCGAATAAATTCACAATTTAAATATAATTCAAAGTAATATAGAAAATTATAAGAAAGATAAAATTAAATTTAAGGATTGTGTCAAAATTAAATGTATCAAATACAATTTATTGACATTGTATAATCACATTATATTAAACATATAAAAATGCGGTGAAGAAATAATTGAAGATTCAGTAATCACTCTTTGAATGAGGTAAACGCTGTAAAGTAAGACATGGCGATTCGTATTACCTTAAATGGAATATGAAAGAGACATGAATTATATATTATATACATATATATATGTGTGTGTGTCTGTGTGTGGAGGGAGATGGAGGAGCGGATAATTGTGCGCATTTTGCTTTGCCACTTTTCCCCTAAATGGAATCGCAATTATAGCGAAATTTCTAGGATAGACTGGATAGATGTAGTTCTTTTGATTAAAAAACGAATCGAATTCGAATCAAATTTTCATACACTAATATGAACAGGTAAAAAAATTGAAAAGATTGGTCATATAAGATATAGGGAAGAGAGAGAGAGAGAGAGAGAGAGAGAGAGAGAGAGAGAGAGAGAGAGAGTCGCGCATAAATGAACCAAATAAAATAGGCAAGTGATTCGAAGTTGAATCATCGATGACTCTAAATTTCAAACTTATGTGCCTAATTCCTTCACTTTCAGATAAGTTGAGAATAACTTTATGTAGAAGATATCTCCGTTATATCTTGGGAAATATCTCTTGGAAAAAGTTAGAAGTGATAAAATTAGATTATTATTTGATTTAGGATCTTTCAAATTCGGAAACAAATCATAGAAGATCCACAGTGATTTGATTCAATTTGAATCAAATCCAACTGATTCACACATCTCTATCGTATTCTTATTTTGTTTATTTAATCGTGCATACCTTTTACTAAAGTCTTATTATATTCGCCTTTTGAGCAATTATTCGTTGAATTAAATTAAAAAGTCTTTGAATAACGGTTTTTCTTGTATTAAATCAATTCGCGACGAGAAATTGTGCGCATGGACAATGATTTAAAATATATATAGATAGATTATGTATTTTTAATCTCCCCCGATTATTGCTATTTAAGTATTATAACAAAGATTATAATTAACATTGTAACCGAAAAATGTCGAAATTTGGAAAGGACATTATTTAGCATAATTATCTTAATTTTATTCATTGATTTCCCACGATTATAGATCTGCGCACAATTAGCCAACTTATGCGTATATTTTACTCGATGCGAGAGATATTTTTTTGTTTCTGTCTACTTTACTTTTTGTAAATGTAACATTATCAAATGAAAAATTTGTTCAATATCGAAATGCATATTGATAGAAGAATATATGTTTATTGTTTGCATTTTCTTATACGCGGATTTTAACTTCAAAAATGACTTGCATTACTCCCTCACTTTTCTCTACACACGCGCGCACACACACACACACACTGTCAAAAGCAACTTTACATTTGTATGCACTTTACTTACCGCTGCAAAAGTCGCAATGCATAATGGAATCATATTACCTGCTTTCAATCCACATGGTACATTACTTCTGTAAAGAGTTATTATCAATAAAGATTTTAGTCTAGGCGAAAACTTGTACCATTCTGCAGCATATCTGTAATCATAAGTTAATAACAGATAATTTCGAATTTTCTAAAAAGAATTATTAAATATTTGCAAAAATTACATTAATTATTATAAATTACGAATGGTTCATATGTTAATTAAATTTTTAATTATATCGTATTTTTATTTTAAATGGAAGTTGAATCAAGATTTTTTAATCTTATGAATATTATGTGCTTTTTTATAAATAAAAAAGTTACTATCAATTTTGCTTAAAGAATGTTTTATAATTTTAGTATGTGTGTGTGTGTTAAAATAAAAAATGATTTTTACGCTCGATAGAATATACTCTGACTTTCGTCCATTAATCTTTGACCAGAGTAACATAGAATCATTAAAGTCATTATACAAGCTGCGAATATAAATGCGAATTTTATTATTTCCCCTGCTTGATCTAATACATAAATAATCTGTAACAAATTAAAAAATGTTACATAAACATTAAAAATATTATTATATTTTTATTCATGATAACAAAAGTTCGATAAGATAAAAAATTTTATAAAAACGAAAGAATTTAATATGTAATAAAGTTTAATATCAAAAATATATTCCTAATTTTTTGTTCTTAATTTTTACTCAAAATCTCTTTTATGTATTTTTATCAATCTGTTATTTATTTCTAAATAGTCTAATATTATTGTCAAAATTAAAATATGAATTAACAATTAACAGAACTAACTTCGATAATCTTAGCTTATATAGTATTAGCTTCAAGATTTAAAAAAACTAGATTTAAATGACTTTAGTATTAGCTGTATTAAGTAAGACGCTATTATAGCGCTATTTGTATCATTCTATCTTTATCGTCCGTTAAACGTAGAACAACCACAATTAACATAAATAATGTTGATAGCGCGCTCTCTGAACGCAGTCGTTGTCAAAGTCATGGCTCTGAGGGCTTTGTGTGACTTTTGGAAGATTTTAGACAGTACTTATTCGTTCGATAGTTATAAAGATTTACAAATAAAGTTGACAATATAAATGTGTATTGAATTATATGCATATAATTTAAATTGTAACTACATATTATAAATAACTCAATATAACTTTCCACATTCGAAGCGAGATCCATATACACCCTCTTCTGTCAAGAGGCGTCCGTCTTTCTACGCAAAGCGAGGTTTATCCCCATTGCTTGTTAAAAAGCTATAAACCAATAATTTAACCTAGATAGGGAAAATTCGTTTTGCGTGCATGGAAAGTCGTACTACGCCCCTAGGCAGGAAGAAACGTAGGATAGACCTATAGTGTGCCTCCCAACAAGCGGCACAGTATAACACAATGATCTCATCCTTTAACATTGGCGAACAATTACAAAGATGTACTTTGAAAAAGATGTAAAGTGTCACATAATTATAAAATGTTTATTACATTTTTTTTATTAACGAATGACTTTTTTATTGAAGGACGAGCATGGAGTAAAATCTTTTGAAGATTGCTCAGAGTTATGACCTTGACAATATATGTCAATGATAAAGTCATCGAAGTTGGGTCCGTTATTATCAACACTTACCAAAGAAAATTTTAATTATATTTTTGTTATTTTGTTTAGTTATAATATAATATGTTTATATTTATGTACAATATTTTATATATGAATAGTTTCTATATAAAAGCTTACTCGAGTTGCAATCAAACTTATAGTCCCAATAAGCAAGATTAACAAAAATAATGAAATTCCCTTATATGATGACTCCAATGTATTAACAAACCTAGATTGGAAATTAGTAAATTAATTTATATAACAATGACATTATATTACGTAACATACTATTATATTAGTATAGAGAAAAAGAAAGAGAGGGAAAGGGACAAACATTTTATATAGAGGGACAATTAAAAAATACAAAAAATTGCTTACTCTATAGCAAGTTGATGTTTCTTTAAACATATTATGTATTCCTTGTACATTAACTCTTCATTTAATGGATCAAGTTCCATGTTCACAGGATATTTACATTTGCTGTTTTTTTTATTGTTATTCTCTTTCGAAATTATATTCTCGATTTGTTTGCTGTAAATATAATATCTCGCAAAAGTTAAATAAAATACGTGTATTTTTTTAATAATAAATAAAACATACGTCGTAAAATATGTGTATGGAAATTGTATATAAAATTAGTGTTTTATAAAATATTTATAACAATATTATTACACACAACATTTAATTTTACTGACATTTTATCTACCTGACAGCGGCAAATAAACTACACGCATGAGCGGTACATGCGATATGCATTGCATCAACGCCCATTACGATGTTGACACCTACTAGAACTATAACGGTTGTATAACACAAAATTGCTAGAAAATAATCATCTTTATTCACTCTGAATTCAACTTCGATTACAAAGGATCGCGGACGTGATTCGTTAAGAGGCATCACAGTGTCTAGCAATATTGGTGTTAGTGGTAAGAATAAAAATATCATCATTAAACTAAACATTAGCACTGCAATATTTTAAAAGAGAATCGTTATAAGTATTTTTGAGCTACACCGTTGTTCGATTTCTTTTTAAAACAACTTTATTATAAACACCGTTTTTCTTATTATTAGCATGTATACTATATGTTAATTTCAAAATAATAAACATCGTAAAACTGCTTATAATAATCTTATTTATAATATTATCTTTTAACATCATATGACACCATATTTAATATATTATCGTAGCAATATACTTACTCGAGTAATATCTTGTAAATTTTCGTGATAGCATTGAATAATTTTTCATAACTTGAACCTCCAAATCATTCGTAAATATGTCCCAATGCTGATCAATAGCTTTGTACAACTGTCGCAACTGATTGCAATAAATATGGAAACGGTTTAACATATTAAATCTGAAATAATTTTACCGCAGTATAAACATAAGTAAAAAAGAAAAACAGTTACAGTTATAAAAACTTGCCTTGTCATGGTTCCAGAACTCGTTTATCTGCCTCCCAATGAAAGAGAGCGACATCATAAATTGATAACTGGCATCAAAAATCATTTGCGGATTGTCCCAATGATCGTACATTAATAATATCTGCGTGTCACGTTGGATTATTATCCGTAAAATATGTTAATATAAATAGATAAACATATAAATAGATAAACATAGAATTTTGTACGATTAAATAAATGCAAATTATTATTTTGTATATGTTTGATTAGTTTAATTATATTTATTATATTAAATATGTTGCATTATAAACTTCTCATGACAGAAGTCTAAAGCTTATTGGCGATGTAATATACATATGTTTTATACAATAAAAAATAAGATTTAAAATTAAAAACACCAATTGAATGCATCTGTTTGATAATCTAACATATGTCGATCCATGCATTACCTCGAAGGGACAATAACTTATTTCGATCAGAAAGAAGAAAGTTCGCAAGAAATTTCTCGTGGGTTTATTTTGAAACGGCCAAAGACCCATGGTCAACAAAAATACCCGGTTAACGTTATACTCTCGCAAAAAATTTTCTAGCATGATTGTTCGTCTTAGTATCTTTTTGAAAAATTACAAAAGAATGATACATGCTACATATGTATGTTATCGACACCCTAACATAGAAGTAGTGGCGCAAATAATATGAAATTATAGGATGTCCGGAAATGTCACTGTCAATTTATTAATTTGCTGATGTCAGAGAGTATCTACTAAACCAACACTTTCCTATCTCTGAAATATCATTTATTGAACCCTTTTGCAAAGTGACATGACATAGTATTATGCTATTGCGTGATACAATAGTAAGTTGAGGGGTGACTGTATACTATAATAATAATGTAGACACGTGCTACCTTCCTGTCTTATTCGTGTACGTGTCTCTAGTTTGCTAAAATATCTAACAGATAATTTTAAGCACTACGATTGTATGTGTGTGCACGAATAAAATTTTTAGTTTATCTTTTAAAATAGAAAACAGTACACTATTATATAATAAAAAAAACAAACTTAAAGTTACATTATAATAAAATAAATATATATACTATATAAAGTTGCAAAAAATACAGACAGCAAAACGTAATTGAAAAAATTTTTTAATTTAACAAAAAGATAATGATACTAACATAAAAAAAATAAATCTGATAACCAATTAGAAAATAGAGAGAAATAAATATCCTAATAGAGAAAAATGGATACCGCAAGTCTATCAACTACAATGTTATTGTCACTGAGACAAGACGGAGATCGGTGAAGAATTAATTCAATACTTAGTAATCAATCCTGCATTGATAATAATGCCGTGTAGTAAGACATAGACATTTTTATTACCTTAAAGTAATTATATAAGTTATGCATAATATATACTATAACATTCTTATAAAAAATAATATTGTATTATTTTATAAATTACCTTTGCATAAGTTGCAATGGATAACGGAATCATGTTGCCTGCCTTTAATCCACACGGAATATTACTTCTATAAAGAGTTATTATCAATAACGATTTTAGTCTAGGCGAGAATTTGTACCATTCTGCAGCATATCTATAATCATAAACATAATAATTGACTTTAAATTAATTTTTTAAGGAAAATTATGCTCAAGTTGAAAATTGTTTTTTGTAATATCAGTGTATAATATAATAACATATATACAAATATGTGCATAGTACAAAATAACATTTAATTGTAAGATTTATAGTATTCGTGATTTATAATATATTAATTGAATTTTTAAATTACATTATTTATATGAAAATTATTTTAAATAAAAATTAATATTTAAAAAATTGGTAAGTATCGATAAAAAGGGATCCAGTTTCGATGACCTTGATCTTGACGTATAAAAGTCATGATCCTGTGTGATCTTTAACAGGTTTTAGTTGATGATCATCCTTCGTTTAAAAATAATTAATAAGAAAAGTTTACAAAATAACATTTCATTTCTGCTGTAATATTAGCAATTAAATCCCGAGAAAGAAGGAGAAGTGAACCTCTCCTATCTAATAATTTTCAGAAAACGAAAAACAAAAGCCATAAAAAACTACGCACATTACAGAAAAAATAACAATATATCAATCAGTACTTACATTACATTATGTTTCTTTCTAATTAAAAGACATAATGCACATCGAAACATTTATATTTTTTTTAGCATATAAATTAACAATGAAAAAGTGCTTTCTGAATATCTTAAAATAGTTCATAACATGAGTCTTTCAACACTGAACACTGCGCCATATATGTCTAATTAAAAAATGAAACTTTTGACAAAACGCATTTTGCAAATCTGCTTAATTATAGACTTCCTCTACTACTAAAGCATCCTCAATTATAGACTTGTTTTGTTCTACAAAACATTAAACTTTTTTTATTAGTAATTTTTAAATGAAGGACGACTATCAAAACCTATTGAAAGTTACTCAAGTCCCTATAACAACATATATCAAGATAAAGGTAAGTTATCGGAGCTGGGTCCCCTTTTATCGATATTAACTAAAGATTTTATATCACGCCCAAAGAAAAGATCATTAATTTATAATTTTGTTTAAAACAAGATTGAAAAAAAAATACAATACGTTTATGAAGATATAAAATAATTATTACGCTCCATGGAATACATTCTGACTTTCGTCCATTATTCTTTGACCAGAGTAACATATGATTATCAAAGCAAACAGTGTTGATAAGAATACAAGCACAAATTTTGCTAACGTTCCCACTTGATCTAATACATCAATGATCTATAAAAGATTATATATATACATATATATATGTATATTAGAGAGAGAAGTGCTATATAATTATTTGAAATATATAATTATATTTTATTTTGAATAAATAACGCTAATCTTACAGAACGTAAATATTAATAACATTATTATCAAAAATTATTAAAATTATTAGCTTTTATTTGCGTTAATAATTTATATAATAACATATATATACATATATATATGTGTATTAATAAAAAAACACTACAAGTTAGTCTTAGATGAATAAGGAATATATAGAAAAGCTATATATTATAATGTTTTATATAATTGTATATTTAAATTATATCTTAGTAGAGGAGAAAAGTCACATCATATTTATGCACAATTATAATACATACTCGAAGTCCAAGTAAACTCAAAACTCCAACAACTTCTATCAATATACCTAATGCACATCCTTGATATGATGAATTTAGTACGTTGACAAATCTAAAAAAGTTAACATTAATTTTGAATATAAGTAGAAGTATTAATATTATGTAAAAGACAATATAATTTGACAAAAGTTATTTACTCTATAGCAAGCTGATGTTTTTTTAAACATATTATATATTCTCGATACATCATTTTTTCGTTTAACAAATTAAACTTTTTATTTATACCGTATTTACTTTTCCTGGTATTATTTTCATTATCGTCGACTTTTAACATTATTCTTTCAATTTGCTTGCTATGAAATAAATCTTATATTTTAAGGAACCCAAATAAAATATGTGTACATAACAGATAACTGCTTATATGTATACATATTATACATATATGTATAATATATATATAATATAATTTTTTATAAATAAAATATATATAAATATACACATATAGGATAATCCACTTTAATCCGCGCACAGTAGAATACCTCAAAATCCTTAAGTTTAAGACAAAAATATTTCAGACAAAAGTTGCTCAGAGGAAAAGAAGATGGTGATCTTGGTTGATTTAGATGTCCTTAAGGACAAGATTACTTAAAATTTGTTAAATGATACTATATAGTTTTTTTTACATAATGTGATTCTTCTAATTATTCTGTATATATAAAATTATTAAGATAAGTGTACTACAAAATAAATAGTTTACAAGATATTTTATTCTGGCAAATATTGATATAAAATATTAAATATTTCGTAAGCCATTAATGTTTTTATTATAATCATACTTTTAATACTTTTATGTGCGTAAGAATAATTAAAGAAAATTATATTATATAAAGCAATACATATAATTTCATCTAAAAAATTTTGGATAACCTTGACCTTAAAGACATTTTTTCAAGGTCAATCAAGATTATCTTCTTTTTCTCTTTGTAACTTTTGTCTTAAATTTAAAAGTATGGAGATATTCTATTGGATAAATTAAAATTGACTACCCTGTATATAAAATTAAAATCTTGTTAAAATAATTGCACAATTATATCATTACATATATTATACACAGTATCTTCATCCGTTTACCTGATAGCCGCAAATAAACTACATGCGTGAGCAGTACATATGATATGTTTTGCATCAACACCTAACCCAATGAATGCACCCAACACAATTAGAATAGAAGTATAACAAAAAATTGGTAGAAAGTAGTCATCTTTATTCACCCTAAATTCAATTTCTACCGCAAAAAATCGCGGACGGGATTCATTAAGAGGCATTATGACGTCTAGGAATATCGGTGTTAACGGCATTATTATAAGCACCGATAGTGAAAAAAAATATAGTACTGTAATATCACGAAAGAAAGATACTTTCAATAATATCAATCTTTTAAAGTAGTAGTTTTAAAAATATGACTATTGAGAGTTCTACATATAATGAATCCGTATTTAAAAAGTTTTTATTTACTTTCATTTTTCTTATTAAAATATATTAAATATATTAATTTCCAGTGACAGAAATCTAAATTTCTCAATTAACTTTATTTTTAAAGTACAAAATCCTTATATACAATATCATATTCTATCAACATACTATATCATCATACAATATCTTATTTTATCAATATATACATGACGTTAATACTTCACATTTAGCAATATATACACTTACTTGAATAATACTTGATAAATCTTCGTGAGAGTATAGAATATTCTTTCATGATTCGAATTTCTATATCATTCGTAAATATATTCCAATGCTTGTCAATCATTTCGTATATCCATCTTATCTGATTACAACAAATATGAAAGAACGATTTAATATATTAATATATACTATATGTTATGAAATAGTTGTATCGTATATATGTATTATCAAAAATAGAACGATTTTAAGAACATACCTTGTTACGGTTTAAAACATCATTTAAATGTCTTACGATAAAAGAAGTCAAGATTAAAATTTGATAACATCCTTCAAAAACCAATTGTGCATCGTCCGAGTGATCGTATAATAGTAATATCTAATATATATATATATGTATAATATAAAATTATTGTAGTGTACATAATGCAATATAAATAAAAATTATAATCTGTTTTTATCCATTGTTAATTGCAAAATATGTTGAAATGTATCATTATCTCAAAAACTATGTACACATAGCGACATGACATATATATTATTACATATATTTATATTATATATATTGTACGAAAAAATAATAGAATTATAAAATTTTACTGATTGAAAAGATATTTTTTATATCAATAAAATGTCGATATAAATATTCATTACCTCAAACGGATAATAACTTATTTCGACCAGAAAGCAGAAACTCCATAATAAATTTCTCACGCGTTTATTCTGATACGGCCAAAGACCTGTGACCGACAATAATATTCGATTCATATTATATTCTCGAAGAAAATTCTCTAACATGATTATTCGTGCCTGGATCCCCAAGGACTATAACAGAATTGAACGTACACGTAATGTCATTGATTTTTTAGCATACAAGTCGCAATTTTCACAAAATTATATAGAATGTTCAGAATCGTCACTGTCAAATTATCAATTCATTAATATTAGAACATGTCTGACTAAACTAAACCCTCACTTATCTTTCGTCTCTAAGATATCGTTAAACTCTCATATAGAATGACATGTGATAGCTGTTGCATGATACAACACGAAGTTGAGGGTGACTATAATAATATAGACCTATACTTGTTTCCTCCATTCGTATTCATATTTCTTTCTTTTGTTTGCTAGAATAGCTTGCAGTTGGTCTTAAACGTTTTGGTTGCATAAATGGAGTTGCATTTATTTTTAAAAATATAATGAGAAGATAAAGAAATTAAATTATAATACTTCAAGAGAATAGAGAAGATTACAAAAATATATATAAAGTAAAGATTAATATTAAAGATTTATAAAGCTAAGGATAATAGTATAATATTAATATAAAAATTATAGTATTAGAGTGTTTTAAATTTTTAAAAGGTAATGAAACTTAATAACGGACCATTAAATTAATTAATGAAAGCCGAAAGTATACGTACCGATTTCCAGGTACAGGAGAGTGCCGGATCTGCGAGACAAAACTATGTCTTTTTTCTTTTTTTTACAATTTTCTGCAAAACGAAGCAAAAATGAGTAAATCTCTCATTTTTCTTACAATTAGTTTATCAATCCCCTCTCGAACACGCTTCCAAAGTTTGGCCATTTAAATTCGAGACAGTCTACAATATATTCCACAAAAATTGAATTTTTCCAGAAATTCCAAGTTCAGTGTTGGATCGTCCCTGAATTACTGTTTAAACAAAATTTTACTATGAAAAACATTTTATGTGCTTTCACCTTGCAGCCTAAATTTGCAGCTCAATCACTTCACAGACGAAATGCTGCGCTCCTTATATTTTTTCCCAGATAATTCTTGAAACCTACGAATGCCTACGAATAAATGTTCGTCGCGGCCCTCTCGTTTTCGGAGATGTGTATTGCTCGCTCGCTCGCAATTTTCGTGATATATATATGTACAAGGCGTATTCATACAATATTCTGAATATTTCATCGGCATTTGCGTATTCTGTGATAATTCTTTTACTGTTCCGGAACTGTTCAGCACACTGGGAACATGAATCAAACTTTCGATCTATGAATACTCAATATTAGTTGAGCTAAAATTAAAGCACGGTTATGATAAAATTCATTCACATAGGGACACAGTCTAAAGTATTAAAAATAAAGATAAATAAAAATAAAGTGAAAAAATAAAGATAATAATGAGAAGATAAGAGCGTGCTGGTTTCTTATTTTCTAGATTCTCTGATGAAAAGTTTCTTACATTGTTTGTCAAATCTTTCAAACAATATGAATATATTTTCTTCTTATATTAAACGATATCTTAAAATTTATGTAAAATTAAGATCTGAAAAAAGTAAATCGTAATTTTAGAATTAATGTGTTTTTTATAAATATATATAGGTAATTAAAAAATTATTTATTTTCATTCCAATTCTCAAAAGATAAAATAAGTATAAGAACCAAGTATAACATTCTTTCAAAATCTATAATGTTTATTTAAGACGCTGTAATACAGTATTTGTAAATTTAAATACTGAGTATTTAAATATTGTACAAAACAGTTTCTTATAATAAATCAAATAGTACAGGACGGATATTGATGATAAATGATGATTCCTTCTGTTTCCACAAACGTTTAAACGTTCAATTTATCGACTTATTTTCTTCATTGGATCCCCTCATTAAGTACGCACTTCTGCAAATTATTTCAATACAATTTAACAATCTAATTGACGAACAGTATAACAAATTATGAAAGAAAATGAGAACATACATTTCAAATCGAGTGTACTTTTTTCTAGAATATCCTGGATCAATTTTGAAAACGGAAATAAGTCTACCAGATCACGGTAGACAAAAAACTAAGGGCTCTCGAAGCGAATAAGATCGGATACGTCTGGATGTGGACAGATGCCGCACGTCGCCCAAGGATCTTCCAGCTCCCAAAGATCCGGCGGCAGGTGCTCGCGACCTGGTGGTGGTCCACGTGGTGGACTTAGTGGATACTGTTCCACATCGAAGAATCTCTCCAGTTCCTCTGGATCGAATGTGGGATACTCATAAGGTGCCTCGCGTCTTGGTACGTCGCGCATCGTGGCTTTTATTCTGGACACAATTGGCACGTCCTCTTCCTCTTCCCAAGATATATCGCCCTCACGTAAGAACTCCTCCTCGAACGGCACATCAAAGCGCAGATCCTCCGGTAACGGCTCCTGAGCTAGCCTCTCGAATTCCCGTTTGGTTCGGCGAGCTGCCTCACGTGCTCTGATTCCGGCCATGCTCCTTTGGGCGAATTCGCGTGCCGCCACGACAGATGGATGTTCTCGACCGTATTCGACACGGAACATCTCGCTCTCGATGTCAGGAACTCTGTATTAAATATTGATAATTTTTCCAACTAACTGATATGTAAAAATGATGAAACTTCATCGGAAAGCTCTTCTCTTGTTTCTCGCTCAGCAATTTGTTATTTATTGGTGTTACATACATATATAACAATGCGAAGAAAAGGAAAAGTTCTAATGTTATTCTAAAATTTATTCATTTAAAAACAAGTAAATTTGCAATACATCATGGCTTTATAGATACGTGAATTATAATTTTTTTCTTATTATTATAATTATAATTTCGTTCTTTCTTGTATTAAATGGTTAAATTTTATTGATTTTGAATTTTTATTTATATTTTAATACTTAATTAATTAACTTTCGATTGTAACGTGACTGAAAATATTTGCATATTGATCAAATAACATGTTTTGACTTAGAAAACTTTAACTCTTTATTTTCTTTCTTTTTTCTGATATTCTTACTTGTAAATGTATCTAGGTCTTTCTTCCTCTGTGAGTCTTACGGCGTTACCGCCGACATTCGCTACAGACATCACAAAGTCTCGTCTCGCTTGCTGCAAGTCCTCCAACTTGCCCTGCACTGTGACCGCTTCAGCAGCATCTTGCTCATCGAGAGTCTCACTACCAAACAATGTCCACGATTCACAAGTCATTTAAACATTGCAATTATTAATCTGAGAAATGAACGGATTAAAAAAAAGTTCTTTGAAATTATTTATTTCACGAACAATGAAATTCCCAATTTCGTCATAAAATAGTTGTGGATTCATAAAGTTTACTGTAACGTGCTCCTATTAGAAAATTCAGGAGTTTTAAATACACGATATCGGTTTACACGTTGAAGTAACATCTTTTTTTATATTTTCTTTGCTTTAAAGACAAAAAGGAGTAAAGGAGATCCACAACTTTCCAACTTCCATGTCGATTTCTTTCGATCTAGTTTTATTCATCTACTTTTCCAGTATATCATCATCCGGATAATTTCAAGTTTCACCTGATCACTTGAATCGAGCGATTCGCCACTTCAGATGTCGCCGCCTCAACGCCGACCGCAGGTGGTTGAGGGATGCTGACGATAGTGGTACGATTCTCGTTCACCGATCTCGGGGGTATCACGATGCTATCAATTGGGCCCTCGCCTACCGGCTCGGCTTGGATGACCTGAGCATTCATAGATCTCGCTAAATCTCTGGTTCTCTCTGGGATAACCGGAAGCGGTTCCGGCGCTCTTCTCTCTGATATCATTCGTCTTTCTGGCCTTCTCACTGGTCTAGGAGGCGAAATCGGCGGGGACACTGTTGGAGCGCGTCTGGTAGGTGGTAGTCTCTCTCTACCAAATCTACAGATGTCAGAAAATTGTAAAATATATTTACAATGCGTTTTAGGAAAAAATTTTGTATTATACTTAAGAAGTGACGTTCAGCATGCAAAATGTTTTAGAGATTCCCGGCTGAAATAATGTAACAAAGCTGTATATAATTTTCGAAGTTTACCTAGGATCACCACCGATCGGTGCAGCAGTCCTTCTTGGCCTCCTTCGTGGCATGGATTCTTCTCGTTTACGTTCAAATTCTTGCTTGAACTTTTCCGCATGCTTTACTCGGGCCATCATCGCCTTTGTCATAGTTGGTCTGGCAAAATCGACTCTTCTTGGCTCGGCTGGAGTATATTGCCGCCTTCTGGTAGGATCTATCAAGGCCGGCTGTGGTTGTCGTCCTGTTTCCTTCTGTTCATACTCTTTCACTATAGTGGCACTCCTTGCCTGTCGTAGTGCCTGCGTCTTTGTCAGACCAGGTTGAATTCGTAATTTTCGGCTCGCCATCGTTGATTGTTGTTAATATTAGGTGATTCTTGACATTAATGATTTAGATATAAATATATATATATATATATGTGTGTATGTATCATTAATATTATATTATTATAAAATATATATATATACACACAAACAATATTTTTATAATAAAATAATATTAAGTTTGTTTTAAAATTTTATTACAATATATAGTGATACAAATAAGACTGTTTTCACTTTTACCATCTAAAAATCTAATAAAAAATTCTGTTACTGAAATATAGATGCTTTCCATTTAGTGACACAAGATTTGACATCATTCTATCCTTTTTGACATTCTAATAAGTAACAAAAATAGAATAACACATGTATCGATTTGCATCACCATGGAAGATACAATCCTTTGTACTTGATTTTTTAAAATAAAAATATTAAAATATTTTTGCACTTAGATTGGTACACGCATCGACATAATGTCTTTATGAGAAATATGATATTGCGTTTACATTTTTATAACACTTTGCACTACGACTGCTTATTTAATGCTGTTCAGGAAAATGATACAAAATATGATTTAGGTTGAATAACTATTGAAACAGCATTTAGAAACCTTGTAAAAATATTTCTAGAGTCTCCAAAAGGTAAACTTCTCTGATTAGCGCGACGATTTTTCTTGGCGCTCAAATAATGGATCCAGTATTTTTTCATGTTGCGAAAGTTTACGATACGTTAACGGTCCATGCCGACAAGAATAACCGGCGCTTAATTAAGGCCGGATTGATCAATTTGTCATTCTGTACAGGAATTTTGTATTATGACAGGCCTGGAAGATTTATGTGATTTAGCATAAAGAAATCACTGGTGACAGACGCGGCAGCTTTTGTTTCGTTTTCGCAAAACGCATCTCTTAATCGAATTGACCTCGAACGTATCTCTGAAGTTGGCATAAATAAAAGAATCTTCTTGCTTTATGCGATTTTTATACTAAAATAAAATTTATTTATAGTGATATATATTATATAATATTAAAAAATATTTTATAATATTAAAGAATAAAAATAATGACTCTTCACAATTAAAATTAAAAAATTAAAAAAGACGTGCAATTAGTGCGCATTAACAAATCAAATGTAGCGAATTTAATAAAAATAAAAAATTAAATTACGTGTTTCGGCTTATTTTTATTGAATTTAATATATTTGTTTTCTTCTTTTTTTAATTGCACTTATTTTTAATCCATAAATATTAGCTGCACCATAAAAATTAAAAAATAAAAGACTCTAATAAGCTTTTTTAATTTTTTGAATATAACATGTTTAATACGAGAGGAGCTTCGTTCAATCGAACGTCATTACAATTGTATTGAATTATGTTAGCTTACATTCTTTTACATTATTTGGTAACTCATTGTTAGTGCAATACAATACATACACCCCGTCAGCCGTTATAAATATATTTATATTTGTTAATATATATATAAATTAACAAACTTATTTACGAAAAATATTATATCTGAAAATACTAGCAAAATCTATAAAATACATAACTATATAGTATTTTCGTATCTATTCGTATACGATATTTTTCAAAAATACGGCCTCTGATCCAACATTACCAGATTCTCACCGCATAGAAAAAGTGGGGACAACATATGAATTGAGAAGATCTGTAAATTGTCTCGTTTCTGGAAGCTTTTTAGTTTCATTTTAAAAAATTTTAATAAATATTTACAAATTATAATTAAAAATTAACGAATATAATAATATAAAATATATGATCTGAACAATATATATATATATAGAGAGGAGTTTGCGCCAGAATTAATTAGAGTAATAACTTTCGTACATTTCGACTCTCGTTTTGAGCCATCTTCAGCAATTAGATATCTTTTTTTTTGCCTCAGGACTTTTTTTCAGGTATAATTTTCTACGCCAAGCGAGGTTTATTTTTATTTCTAAACATGCATATACGAAATAACTTTTTTTAGTAATAATCGTCTAACAAAAGTAACAAACACCAAATAAAATATTTTGAAGATCATTCAGATCATGGCCTAACATGTGTGTGTCAAGATCAAGATCACACATCGGAATAGATCGCCTATTGTAAACCAAAATTATTTATCAAAATCTTTTTATGTGAGAACTAAAGATTAAAAACAGGATAATATATGCAATAAATAAACAATTGTATAAAGCATTTAAATATTTATTTTATTTTTTTTTACTATTGCTAAGATAATATTAATATTATCACAGAAATAGATTTACATATACAAGGTGAATAAAAAATCCCGCATCGGTGAAATATCCCATTTTAGAAAATGAATGTAATCCTGACCTGATTTTGGCAACGCCACCCAAAATTAAACAAATGTGATCAAAGTAAGTAGATCTTTTTTTAAACCCTACAACTTTTATCTGAATCATTTTTCCTAAAAATGATTTGTTTTCGAGATATTTCACCGATCCGAAACTTTTTATTCACCCTATATATACTGTACAATATTTACAATAAATACAATTTTAAAATGCATCACTTAATAATCGGCGGCGTTACTAGCCAGATAATCGCGACGTCCGATATTAGACGCCTGCTTGTTTTGCACAGCCTCCAATTTCGGACACTCTGTGATCCTATGTCCGAGTCCACCACAATAACTGCATCCGCGTTCGTCTGCAATAAAACAAGAAAGATATTTTTAGGTTTACAAGAAACAACAACATAAATTCATGATGAAAAAAAATGAAGAAAAAAAAATATAACATTCGCTATCCTACCTCCCAGATTAAGATATTTTTCATTCTCAGAGCAAAGTTCCAGCAAGAATGGTGGCACCTTTTGCTTTGCTTCCATTAGTAGATGTTTAAGATCGAGTAGTACTGATTCATCGGTTGCTTTATTAATGAAAGTCGTTGCTATACCAGTACGTCCGGAACGGCCAGTTCGTCCTATCCTATGCACTAAAAATTATAAAATTACGTCAATATCTTATCTCATGTTTTTTTTTGTTCAAAATTACTATTTTTCATTTATCACATATATATTACCGTAATTTTCTACGTCGTCCGGCATATCGTAATTAATAACATGTTGCACCTCGGCAAAATCGAGACCCTTTGATGCAACATCTGTCGCAACAAGTACATCCTTTCGACCCGCGCGAAACGCTTCCACCGAACGTGATCTTTCTTCCTGATCTGAAAAAATAAAATAAAATGAATGAATATATTTAATTTATATTACTATTTTAATTATGAAGAATTAACGCCATTGATCAATAATCTTGTGATAATTTTACATCAATATATTAAAGTTGAATAAAATGTAATTTATTTGAAATATCGTACCTATTCCTCCATGGATCGCAACAGCTTCCACTCCTTTTATGAGCAGATATTCATGGATGGCATCCACATCGCGTTTCTTCTCTGCAAATATTAAGACTGGTGGTGGAGTTTTCTGAAGACATTCTAAGAGATAAACAATCTTAGCTTCTTGCTTGACATATTCCACCTCTTGTATTACGTTCATTGAAGCTGCACCAGCACGGCCAACATTTATGGTTACAGGTTTCACCAATGCTGAACGCGCAAAATTTTGAATTCTTTTCGGCATAGTAGCTGAGAATAAAAGCGTTTGTCTCTGACCCTGTAAATTATTTTTATTAATTTTAATAAACATTTGATTTTCTGCCTTATATAAGATGCATGAGAAAATACAAAGTAATAGTTACCTTGAAAAATGAAAATATTGTTCGAACATCTTCTTCAAATCCCATATCTATCATGCGATCTGCTTCGTCCATGCAAAGGTAACGGCATACACTTAAAGTAACCATCTTTTTATGTAACATATCCATCAATCGTCCCGGTGTCGCTACCATTATATGTACACCTCTACGAATAATAATAAAAAATAAGTTGCAACATATTAAAGATAAAAATATGGAAAATGAACAATAATCACTAACTTGTTGATTACAGCTAACGATTCCGAAACTGGCACACCTCCAATTGCTAAGCAGCAGCGTATCTCTGGACAGTCCGTTTGTCTTAAGCTATTGGTATAGTGCCGAATTATGTCATAAGTTTGCTTAGCCAATTCTCTTGAAGGACATATTATCAAACCTATGAATCAGAAAATATTAATAGCGATGTACATATATTTATTAATCTATATTGTAAATAATTACCATACGGTCCTTCCTTTTTAATAAACGGCATTTCTATTTCCTGTTCCAGACAAAATTCAATGATAGGTAAAACAAACACCAATGTTTTACCACTACCAGTAGAAGCTATACCAATCATGTCACGACCAGACAATCTGCGAATATTTAACATTTGTATCATCGATTGAATGTATTGCGTAATTAATTATAACATCAATTGGAAACTCACACTGTGGGTATTCCTTGGACTTGAATTGGAGTTGGCTTGACGATACCCTTCTGTTCCAATCCATATAAGATTCCTTTATGAAATTTCATTTCCTTAAAAGTTTTCAAGGGTGGCGGTACTTCATCACCTTCCACAAGTATTCTGAGCTTCCTACGTACTCTCTCGTGACGCATCTCACCAAGATTAAGTATCATTCTTGGTGGTTGCCAATTGGTCTTGATAGAATCCTTATATTGAATGCCCTTAGCTAATTCAGCCACGCCCATTAAAGCTTTATTCTCAGCCACACTTTCTAGGATTTTCTCCTCCTCCTTCAATTGTTTTTCCATGGCACTTTCCTTCTTGGCTGTAACAGAATTTTATGAATAAATCTTAATTAAATTGTAACATATTTTCATTGTTTATCAAAATGCTATTCATAGAGATTTTGTACCTTCAGCTAATTTCTTTAATTCTGTGTGCTGATCAAGAAGAGAGATATTCGATTTTCTTCCCCAGACTTGTCCATCGTCATTGTCAGCATCATCTTTCTCATTCTCACTACTACTCTTCCCTATGCCATTAGTAGCTTCTTCTTTTAATTGTCCGAGTTTACCCAATTTCATGAGCAATTGCTTTTTACGATTCTTAACAGGTACATATGGTTCGTAATCATCATCCGTATCCGAAGAACTATCTTCTTCTTCTTTCCTTCTATATTTCTGCTTATTCAAAACAAATTAATATATCGTATAAAGAAATATACATTATACAATAAAACATTTTAAAAATACTGGAAGAAATTAAAGGAGACTTAATTACATTGTAAAATGCATATATTATAAAATTAAAAATCGAATCTGTAAACAAACATCTCTACATTAACTAACCTTTATTGGAGGTTCGTTGTTATCTCGATTATCCTGATTCATTGTAGAAATATTCTTGACTACAATGGATTTATTAGAAAAAGACTACTGCGATTTATTACAATAATAGAATTTAAAGAATTAATTATTTGTATATTAATTATTTGTATTCTATTATTATTCTATAGCTGCGTTCGGCAATACAAATCTGAGGTGTCGGAGTTGCTCTCAGGCTGGAGTCACATTGAGCGGAAATTACAGCGGAACGGAACAGTGAAACCAATCAGAACTCTACAATCATTCCGCTACTTTACTTTCTGCGATTATGATTGGTCTCGCTGTTCCGTTCCGCTGTAGATTTTCGCTCAATGGTCGCGTTCAGCGGGCTCAACAGTTGAGTGAGCGCTCACTATTATTGGTGTATTCTTTTAGATCATCCAATCAGAATTTTTAATCTAGAAGAATGCACCAGTAGTAGTGAGCGCTCACTCAACATTGTTGAACATATCGAAATGATAATTGGCGAGATTTTATTACTAGTCCATTTTTCAAGCAAATCAATATATTAATGTTATTCACATCTCATATATCAATGTCTCAATGTGTCTT